TATCTCTAATTTAGTTTTCGACTTACTCAAGACTTTCCTCTTTTGAAGGATTGAAGAGTTCAATAAGATACTTCAAACTGTATGAACTATGAAGAATTATCTGAAGAAGGCTAATCCATGTAAGTAGGGAAAATGCTGGAAGGAAAGTAAACTAGCATAAGCACTTCGTAAAATCTACAGAAGCTGAAAACTGGTATATATACTAGAAGGTAAGAAAAGTGGCAGCTAGGTTGAATAATTTCCTAAGAGATGATCCATTATTCAAGACTTAACACACAAAGAAGGGAAATATTTTGAATGGAATAGGAACATGTCTGATTTTAATCATGCTGAATTTAAAGTGCCGACACAAAGTCCAGGTGGAATTATTTAGTGTTCATTAAAACTATTGGCCTACTCATCAAATACATAATAAAGACAAAAACAACAAGAGATGAGTCACAGAGTAAAAGAAGGTATTTCTAAATATTTTCAGACCAGAGTCAGGTGCAAGTGGCTCACACCTCTAATCCTAGCTACCGAAGAGGCTGAAGTTGGGAGGATCGCAATCCAAGCAAAGAATTCGTGAGACCCCCATCTCAAATAACAGCTGGGTATGGTGATGCATGCCTGTTATCCCAAGACTGAGATCTGGAAGATTATGGTTCCAGGTCAGGCCAGGCAAAAAAGTTCGCACAATCTCATGTCAACAGAAAAATCTGGGCATAGTGACACATGCCTGTCATTCTACCAAATGCAGGAGGACCATGAACAGGCTGGCCTGGGCAAGAAAGCAAGACCTACTCAAAAATTACCAGAGTGAAAATGGCAGAGCACATGCCTTCAAGCACAAAACTCTGAGTTCAAACCCCAGTACTGACAACACCCCCAAAACTGGGGACTAAACTTGAATATATAAAGAATTACATATCCATAAGAAAAATACAATCAAATAGAAAAATATAAACAAAAGTTTCTAACAGACACTTTACAAAAACAGGAAATCCAAATACCCACCCCCCTTATTGGTGGAAATTAAAACGTGACAACATTAAGTGTTGGGGAGGATATGGAAGAATAAGAACTTTCATATGCTGCTGTTGGGAGTCGAAACTGTTACCAGCAGTTTGGAAAGTAAAGCTGAGGATTTACAAACCCTGCAGTTGAGCAACGCTACCCCTGGTATACAAGGTAGAGAAACATGTGCACCTATGGTCAATATAGTGTACAAGATTGCTCATAATTACAGTATTATTCACATAATCCCGACCTGGAAATTCCAAAAATGTCCAGTAGTAGTAGAAAAAATAAATACAGTGTGATGCATTTAAAAAATGAAATTCATACAAAAAACGAAGACTCAACAAAAATGTTGACATTAAGAGACACAAAAGAACATATTCAATGACTTCATACAAAATTGAAAAACTGGGAAAACTGCGTGCATCAGAAATGCACCCATGAGGCAGAATTAGGAGCTAGGGTGTAGCCTGGTGGTATAGTGCTTCCTGAGCACGAGCAAGGCTCAGCACTGGAGGAAAAAAAGACAAACCACGAGAAACTGTAATGGAGAGATTATAAATATTAGGATAAGGAGCAGGGTGTGACTGGGCAAAGTTCTTGAAAATAAACCATATTCTTTATCTTGACCTTGGTAGTAGTCATATGTGGAATGTTTAAATCATAATACGGCTTTGTTTTACAAACGTCTCTGTTAATAATTTTTAAAAATGGTTTTAGGAGCTAGGTGCGAGTGGCTCATGCCTGTAAATCCTAGCTACTTGGGAGGGTGAGATAGGGAGGATCACGGTTTGAGGCCAGCCTGAGAAAAAAGTGCTTGAGACCCCATCTTAATCCACAGATCAGCATAGTGATGCATGCCTGTTATCCCAGCTACAGAAGAGACTGAGATTAGGAGGATCATGGTTCCAGATCAGTCATGGCTAAAAAAGTTTGTGACACCCTATCTCAACAGAAAAAAGCTAAGTGCGGTGGCGCATGCCTGTCATCCCAGCATCAGCGGGAAGCATAAAATAGGAAAATGATGGTCCAGCCTGGCCAAAAACCAAAGCTGAATCTCCAAAATAGTCAGAGCAAAAAGGGCTGAGATCTGAAATCTGCCTCAAGTGGTAAAGTGCCTGCCTCGCAAGCTCAAAGCTCTAAGTTCAAATGCTAGTAATAGGAAAAAAAGAGTTTAAAAAATTACTGGTTAGGGTAATTAATGACACTAATAACTGCATAGAGTATGGTGTAGATGCTGACTCTGGTGCATCCCCCTGTGCGTAAGCTACTCATGGATTTGTTTAATCTTCTGTAATGCCTCTTGCAGATTTACATAATTATTACCAACGTATTGTCATTCTAGCACCCAACACTTTCTGATCAAATGCATGTATTTTACCTTGCTGTGCTAGAAAAATTCAGTAACAAATCTGACTTTTTCAAGAAGTCCAGTCCTTGAATTATATAAATCTGATTCATTTTCACCTAGATTTATAATTATAACTTACAATTTGATAAGTAATCATTTATGCTCATTTTATGTTTCATTTGTGCAAAATGTCTGGATACTAATATATTAATGTTAACATATTAATTTCCCTCTACAACTGAATTTGAATATTGTATGTAATTGTATAAGCCTATGATCTCCAGTTTTGAAATCCTAAACACTTTGAAACCCAAAAGTTTTTCCTTAACTGTCATACAGATTCATTTGGAGGCAAAATCTGATTTGAACTGACATATGGCCACTTATAGTTCTGTGTGTTGTAGATACTTATATTTCACTGTTTGATTACAGATGCTGCTTCAGACCCTGCTGGAAAATACTAATTTTGTTTCTAAACAAAATATGCAGTAGCATATCAGATTCATTTTAACATGTGTTTTAACAAAGAGTGATTCAAATCTTGCATTTTTGTGATATATATATATATATATATACATATATATAAAAGTGCTGACTGAAGCTAGAATGCATATGATAGCATGTTTTAAATAACTGACTATAAATATATTATGCAATTGGTTCATTACTGAGGCTTTTCTAAATATATAGCCACTTCATGGGATATTATATTATTATTTTGCTAATAAGCAAAAGAACAAAAAGAATACCTTTCTATGAACTTAGAAAATCATACATACTTTTCTAAGTATGATTTTCACTGAGATCAAAAGATGAGGCTATCTAGGCCAGGGGCATAGCTCAAGTTGTACAGCACCTTCCTAGCAAGTACAAAGCCTTGAGTTGAAACTCCAGCACAGGAGAAGGGAAAAAGGAGAAAGGAGAAATGAAAAAGGAGAAAGTAGGGGGAGGAGAAAGAAGGGGGATAGGAAAGAAGGGGGATAAGGAAAGAAGGGGGAGAGGAAAGAGGAGGAGAGAAAGAATATAGAAGTTTCAAAATTTGCTGAATTTTAAATTGAAATATAAAAACAAAAGGAAATTTCAGGTGGGAAGAAAATTCTAGATATTGTAATGTGTTGAGATTTGGAGTGAAATATAATTAAAAATTATGAGCTAGGAGCAATGGCACATGCATGTATTCCCAGCCACTGGGGAGGCTTATGCATGAGGATCATTTGAGCCCAGGAGTTCCAGGTCACCCTGGGCAACACAGCAAGATCCTGTCTCAAAAAAAAAAAAAAAAAAACCGAAAAGACAAACAAACAAAAAAACCAAACAAGCAACAGGCAGATAGGCAAACAGATCCAACTACGAAAGACGTAAGATTTAAAACATACTACTTTCCCAAATAGGAAAATTACTACCTTACCATTTGTACACTAAGAAGTAGGACAAAACACATTTGCTTTGAGACTGAGACTTGCTGTGTAGCTCAGATTGTCCTCAAATTTGTGATCCTCTCGCCTCAGCCTCCTGAGTGCTGGGATTATAGTACTCAGACCATGCCTGGCCTACACACACTTTTAAAACTCTAAAATTTCTTTTGAAAACAGCTTTGGCAACACAGAAATATGATAAATTGTTGCTCAAAAATGTACTTGAAACACAACTGACAAAAACAAAACCCAGATATTTTTGCAAAAATTTTGAACTTTAGGCAAATGAAAAACTTTTGTGCATCAAATGATGATATCAACAAAAAGAAAAGAATGGGAGAAAATATCTGCAAAGCATACATAAGGGATTGATATTGAGAATATATAAATGACTCCTACAATTTGACACCACCAACCACATTGATTCAACATTGGACAAAAGACTTGAATAAAAATTTCTCCAAAAATATAAATGAATGCTAAATAAGCACATAAAAAAGATTTTTAACATTAGGAATCATTAGGAAAATGCAAATCAAAATCAAATGTGATATCACTTCAAATACATTAGGATGGCAGATCATTTTTCAAAGCCCTAGAAAATTAGCCAATGTTGGTGAGGATGTAGAGAAAACAGAACCCTTGTGCACTGCTGGTAGGAATGTAAAATGGTGCAGGTGCTGTCGAAAATAGCATGGCAATTCCACAAAAATTAAGTATAATTACATGATCCAGCACTGTACTTCTAGGTGCTGTATAGACTCAAATAAGTGCAGGGATTCCAACAGATATTTATAGACCCAAGCTCACGGTATCATCATACACAACAACATATACACTGCTCAAAGATGGAAGCAGTGTGTGAACAGGTAAGAAAAATGTAGAATATACAGGCAACAGAGTATGGGTGCCCAGGGCTGGTGGGAGGAGGGATTGGGAAGTTAGTGTTTAATGGACACAGAGGTTCATTACAGAAGATGTAAAATTCTGGAATGGATGGTGGTGATGGCTGCCCAAAATGTGAATGTGCTTAATGCCATAGAACTGTCTACTTTAAAACAGTAAAATTTATGTTATGTATATTTTATGGCAATAAAGAATGCACTTGGAAATGAGTAAGCACTGAAAACAGAATCACCATCATGAGGATGAAGATATAAACAACTGTTCAGGTGCACAGGCAAGGGGAGCAATCACATTATATTTGGATAGTTCTTATTATTCTCACTTGGTACCTGGATTTCAAGCTCTGCAATGTGCTGCTGTAACTCAGCCACAGCAGCTATGCTATCTGCTTCCCGGAGTCTTACAGCCATCACCTCTTCTTTGTTCTAGAGTGCCAAACAAACAAAATAATAAACCAGTTGTCTTTGGATTGAGAGTTTTCAGATTTTAGAAACAAAACACAGTATATCAATTAGTATTTTCCAGCAGGGTCTGAAGCAGCATCTATAATCAAACAGTGAAATATAAGTATCTACAACACACAGAACTATAAGTGGCCATATGTCAGTTCAAATCAGATTTTGCCTCCAAATGAATCTGTATGACAGTTAAGGAAAAACTTTTGGGTTTCAAAGTGTTTAGGATTTCAAAACTGGAGATCATAGGCTTATACAATTACATACAATATTCAAATTCAGTTGTAGAGGGAAATTAATATGTTAACATTAATATATTAATATCCAGACATTCTGCACAAATGAAACATAAAATGAGCATAAATGATTACTTATCAAATTGTAAGTTATAATTATAAATCTAGGTGAAAATGAATCAGATTTATATAATTCAAGGACTGGACTTCTTGAAAAAGTCAGATTTGTTACTGAATTTTTCTAGCACAGCAAGGTAAAATACATGCATTTGATCAGAAAGTGTTGGGTGCTAGAATGACAATACGTTGGTAATAATTATGTAAATCTGCAAGAGGCATTACAGAAGATTAAACAAATCCATGAGTAGCTTACGCACAGGGGGATGCACCAGAGTTAGCATCTACACCATACTTTATACAGTTATTAGTGAGCAATTAAAAATTAATACAATTTGTATCACTTCTTAAAACCCTCTAATAGTAAATCTGTACCCACCACTTGGATAAATTCAGAGAAAACAATTATTTTCATCAGCGAATATTTACTTCCAAAGAACATTTTACTTTGCTAACAGATGCCAATTTGAGGAGAAATATTAAACCCAATAATGTTATCAAAATGTTTAAAGAAAACTTACATCAATAATGGAAAATGATGAAATTTAGCTCTATTAAAGATAAATCAGCACAGAAATTTAGTATCGTAAAAATTCAGATAAGAAATCAGATTAATATAACCTCATTTTATGTTTTATTTTTTAATTAGTCTAGTCATATTCTTCAAAAGTAACTATTTTTATGTTAGTACAAATTTTAGTATTGCCTACAGATTTCTGTCAGTGTAAATTATAATAGCCATGCATATTAATTAGGATGTAATTTCATCTCTGGATTTCAGTGACACTGATAAACCACTCAAGCTTCACTCTTGGTTTTTAATGACACCAGAACAAGATGATGGAATTACAGCTTTCTATGTGCCATTGAAAGTCTTCTTATGGAATAATAAGGCTGGAATGTATAAAGGGCATTATTCCTACTATCCACTAGGTGGATGACTGGTTTATCTTAAAATCTCATAATCTATCTTTAGTAATCCACTCTAATGCTCAATCTACACTCATGTCTTTATTTCTCACAGACATATACCTCCTTCTCTATCTGACTTCTCAAACCCTCTCTCTGTTGTTACTGCTAGAATTTAAATTTCTGGAAAAATGTATTTAACTTCAAATACTTTTGTTACTTTTGAATCAAATACATACACACAGACATACATGAAAGATAAATTGATTAAAAAATAATGGAAAATACACCAGTTCTTCTTAACTCACTGGTACACAAACATTTCATTTGTTTGTGTACTCTATCTAGAAAACATAGCTCAATACTGACTGCCCCTAACAAGGTACCCATCAAAGAAAGGAAAGGGAAGCCCCAACCTTTCCAAACTATCTTTTTGGCCTGGTCATTAAAAGTTTCAGTTTTAAAGGGATACTAGCCAAAAAACGTAACAAAGGAACACTAGTAAATGTTCATATAGGACATCAAGTTAACCAAGAATTTTTTTGAAAATGGGGTTTCTTTTCTGAAATTCACCATAGAAGCAAGACTGAAGTAAGGTGATCAAAAAACAAACATTAAAAAAAGCTCAGGAAGTGGGAAAGGAGAGTAACATTTTTTAAAAGAAAATTTTATCATGATTAAGAAAACTATAAAAGGCATTATTATACTGACAAAACCCATAAACTAGTGATTTAACATGTTTACCTTGCATTCAATCTCTGCTTGTTTACGCTTTGCTTCACTTAATTGAGTAAGCAATCCTTTGTTCTGTGCAGAAAGATAGTACACCTTCTCCTGTAGACTGATCACCTCTTGTTCTGCTCTTCGAAGATGGTTACTGTTGATCTGGTTCTAATAATCATAAATATATAAATATGTATACTACAGGTAAGAGGACTAATAATTTAAATTTTTGCCTACTCATTTTAGTTCTCAACATTATAGAAATATATTAGCTATAGGTCAATTTTACCTATAGACACTGAAAAAATAAGATACAAAACTGCCTTAAAAGTCTAATCCTCCAAAGGAACACATGTGGTCCATATTAGAAATTCTCATTACAACTCAATATACCATTTATACAAAAATATCTGTAAACTTTTAAGGATCTCTATAAAGAACTTAAAGACAGTCATTTCTGAAACAGGCAGTGGAATGATGAACTTAACTCTTTTCAGTTCTCAAAAGAAAGTAGGAACTGATTAAAAAGCACTAACACCACTTACTGGATTATACACTCCTTCATGTCATAAAATGCATCATGAGTATGTCTACATTTCCCCAATGCCTAGCATGACTTCTTTTCATGGAGCATGGACTTGTTTTGAACTCTGACTTTGCTATTTGGTAATCAAGCAAATAGTATTTCTAAGTCTCTCTTTCCTCACTTGACAAATGTATATAAAAATACTTTCTATTTCTCATTTGGTTGTTTTCAGAGTTAAGTGAGACAATACATGTAACAGAGCCTAATACATAGTAAGGACTCAATAAATGTGAGCTATCATATTACAAATATGATAGAGCTTGAATTGACTGCAATTTTTCCCAATAAGGCTTATACTAGCTTGAACTCACTTAACCCCAAATAATTCTATCAGTGGTCTAAAAGAAATAGTAGGGACTTTTGTAACTCAAGACCAGTAAAATCTAGTTCCACATTTAGTAATTCTTCAGTCTTGGAAAAGTTATTTAATCCTACCAAATTTTAGCACATTGGTGAAAACGCAGATAGTATCACTTGCCTTCTGAGGCTGTGTTGAGAAGATTGTAAGAAAATTCTATGAAAGGAGTTTTACACAGTGAAATTTTATAGAAAATAAGTACTTTGTTGTTACTCATATTATTACCTACTCTGCCTCATTCTATGAAAATGGTCCTGCCTCCAGCATTTTTAAACAGACTGTAGCTTAGTTTATTATGCATAAATTTGCAGCATATCATGTTTTTACACCAGAGATTCAACACGATTCAGACATGATAAAGCTTAGAACTGACAAGAACATGCAATAGAATAAGGTAACTTAAATTGAGACAGCATATGCAAGTAGATCAAGTCCCCAGTTTAAAGGCCCCTTAAACTGGGACTTAAAAACATGTACTGATTTGGTCAGTACACGGTCAGAGCAGAATTTAGAAAAATGCCATTCAACTGCAGCTAAAATGTCAAGTTTCACTGTAGTTCAAATAAAAAGCAAATGCACACAATGTGTTAAAATGACAGAGCCAACTTTACATCATGCATATCCTAATGCTATTAATTATATTTGGGATAAGGAGACTAGGCTATTGGTGTTAGGGTTAATAAAATGAACTTTTCTTTCTAAATTCTATAAACTAAAAGGGGCTGCTAAGGAAAAAGTGGCACATTTCAAAATCTGCCTCCAGTTTTAATTTTAAAAAATCTGATAAAAGAAAAAGGAAACAAAAATCTGGATAATTTTATAGATTTAAGTTCCAAAAGTTCCTACTACTTCCAAGTTTATCTTTTATTTATCTTCCTGACTTTCAGAATACCTTCTTTCTAAAATCATCCCGCATGTTATACTATTCTTTCCCACTTTTACTAAATTAATTCTTTTTTTTATTGTTTATTCATTTACTCATATGTGTAATACATTGTTTGGGCATCCCTCTCTCCCTGCCCCTTAGCCCCTTCCCCCTCCCAAAATTCTACCTATAAAATTAAGTGAATTTGCCTGGCTCTGGTGGCTCACACTTATAATTCTAGCTTCTTGGGAAGCTGAGGTCTGGAGGATCATGGTTCAAGGCCAGTCTGGGCAAACAGTTTGAGAGACCCCATCTCCAAAATAAACACAACAAAATGGACTGGAACTGTAGCTCAAGCAGTAGAGCACCTGCTTTGCAAGCACAAAGACCTGAGTTAAAAAAAAATAAAATAAGTGAACTTCTTAGTACTGTATTACAAATGTTCTGCTTTTATATTGTCTTATCTACTACCATTTGAACAAATTACTATACTTCAGAGGGCCATCAAAATAACTGCAAAGAATTCCCACAGATAAAAATCTCCTTCACATCCCTAAATACAATACCATGAGATTCAAGATTACAG